GGCCCAGAACTTTCTCAAGTCGACCTCACCAGACCCAGCTCTTGCCTCTCATTGCCCTCCCAAGGGCCAGCTTTTGCCTCACGGCCACCTTCTGAGACCCAGCTCCTGTTTTACAGTGGCCTCATGAGGCCCATCTTCTGACTCCTGGCAGCCTGTACAGGCCCAACTCTTGCCTTACAATGGCCTCTTTAGTCCCAGCTCCTGCCTCTTTGCAGGAGGCCCAAATGTCCTCAAGTCCAGGCCACAAAATCCAGGCCCAAAATGTCCACAAGTCGGCCTCTGAAGGCCCCGCTCCTGCCTTTCGTTGGCCTCTGCAGGCCCAGCTGCTGTCCCCAGGTGACCTCTACAGGCTGCGCTTTTACTTCTGGCTGTGCCTGGAGGCCCAACTCCTGCCTCAGAACAACGTCTTTTGGCTCAGCTCCTGTCCAGTTCCTGGTGGCCTTTGAAGGCCCAAAAGTGCCTCAAGTCAAGCTTTCCAGGCCCACCCTCTGCCTCCCAATGGCCTGGACAGGCCCAGCTCCTACGTAACAATGACCTCTCCAGGCCCAGCTTTTGCCTCACGGACATGTTCCCCAAACAAGCTCCTACCTGCCTCCCGGCCAGCTCGATGGGCCCAGATCCTGCCTCACACTAACCTCGTTAGGCCCAGCTCATGCCTCACTGTGGCCTGTCCAGGCCCAGGTCCTGCCCCCCGACAGGCTGTCCGTGCCTAAAACTTCCGCAAGTCAGCCTCTCCAGTCACAGCTCCTGCCCAACATTGGCCTCTTTAGGCAGGACTCATGCCTTGGTGGCCTCTCCAGGCCTCTCCAGGCCCAGCTCCTGCATCCTGGCAGCTTCTCTAGACCAAGAACTTTCTCAGGTCTGCCATTCCAGGCCCAACTCCTGCCTCCCGTCAGCCTCCATAGGCTCAACCTCTGCCTTGCAGGAGACTTTCCTGGCCACCTAGGCCAAGCTCCTGCCTTTCAGCAGCCTCTACAGGCCCAGCTCCTGCCTCTCAATGACCTCTCTAGAGCAAGCTCATGCCTCACAGCGGCCATTCTGGCTCAGCTTTTGCCTGTTGGCAGCATCTCCAGGCCCAGAACTTCCTCAAGTGGGCCTCTCCAGGCTCAGCTCTTCCTCCTGGCTGCATCTCCAGGCCCGTCTCCTACGTCACAACAACCTCTTTCAGCTCAGCTCTTGCCCAGCTCCTGGCAGTCTTTATAGGCCCAAAGCTTTCTCACATCAGGTTCTCTAGCACAACCTGCCTCCCAGCAGCTTAAATAGGTCCAGCTCCTGCGTGACCATGGCCTCTCCAGGCTCAGCTCTTGCTTAACGGGGTCCGTCCTTGGCCAAGTTCCTGCCTGCCTCCCAGCAGGCTTGAAAGGCCCAGCTCCTGCCCCCGACAGTCTCTCCAGACCAAAATCTTCCTCAAGTCAGCCTCTATAGGCTGGTCTCTTGCCTCACACTGGCTTCTCCAGGCTCAGCTCCTGCATCTTGGCAGCCTCTCCAGGCCCAGCTCTTGCCTCGTGGCAGCTGCCCCAGGCTAAGTTTCTCAACAGGCACAGCTCCTCCCTCACACTGGCCTGTTTAGGCCCAACTCCTGACTGTCAGGCCCTATCCAGGCCCAGTGCCTGCCTTCTGAC